GGAAACGGTCGCGGTATATACAAACGGCCGTCCAGGTTGAACGGTTCGCGGGGCGCGGTACGGTCTTATGAACTAAGAGTGCGCCGTCCTATTTAGAAAACAAATATAAATAACTGAGATCAATATAAGTCTAATTAAAGTAATTTATACCTAATTAATAATTTAAATATTATTTACACAAAACTAATAAAATATATAAAATTTAATTTTCAGACATGTATTTTGTTGTTTTTTGGGATGAATGGTGCGCTACAATAACGGCTTCTTGGCTTATCTTGAAGTCTCAAGTTTTCAAATGGCCACCCAAAAATAAGAATGCTACTAATGAAAGTAAAAAAGGAACGAAGCCTCAAGAAAAGTGGATAACAGTTCGATATTCCAAATTGTTAGGACCTTTCGGTATGTAATTGATAAATATTTCTTTCAAATAAATATTTAATTTCCAACTTATAGAAATTAAATATTTATTTTATATTTGATATAAAGATACTTTCGAAGAAGCTAGAGAAATGGAAAACAATACTTTAGATATTTCAACGAATGATGAAAAAACACTTGCGGAAGTAACAAAAAAGAAAAATACTGAGGTTTCACAAAAACGTGCAATTCAAAAACCATATCGTTTTCCTTCTTCCTCTTCCAATTCTTCTTCTGAGGAAGAAGAGGAAAGTCAAACAAAAACAAAAGCTATTAAGAAAAAGAGTAGTCAACATTCAATGAACCAAACAACAAATAAAAATCTAATAGATGAGACAGCAGAAAATTCATGTATGTGTTATATAAATTTTTTTTTGGAACTATTTAAATATATTTTGTGATAATAATGGATTAAAATGAATTCCGTCAGGTAATAATAAACCTCCAACAAATTACAAATCATTAAATGCAGGAGAATTTTGTCATATGTCGATTAAAGAATCATGGAATGAAAATGGTGATGTATATTTTATAAAAAATATTAGAAATAATTAAATATTTTCTATTTCATAATATAAAATTTTTGTATATTACTAGATTGCACTAAGGAACAAATTTTTGAGAAAGACGAACCTTTATTTTCTGGAGATCTTCCTCACTTTATTCAAAAAGATATTTCTTTAGAATTACAGGCTGATATACTTACACATGAAGGTATAAAGTTTTTATAATAACATTTTATATTTTAAGTTATAATAATAAATTTTGTACCAGTTGCATAGAACAAATTATGAAAAAGAAATTAATTTCGATGTAAATTCACGTTTATTATAAATTGAATATATCAAACAAATAAAATAAAATCAAGGTCAAAAATCGAGCAAACTATAAAGTCATCCGGTATGATTATATAACTTAATTTACATCAGTGATAATACAATAATATAATAAATAATGAGACATTTCGACTTTACTTAATCTTCTTAAATCAAAGATAATGTAAATTAAATTATTTAATTGTTCGGGAGTCGACCTCGACGAGATCGCCCGAATCTTCAGAGATACGCTCAGAGATGAGCGAGAAGCGGTGTGTAACGCGAATCCGTAGATCCGCTGGAGGATAAGGAGATTGAGAAAAGAGTCGAGTGCAGATTGTTTTAACTATTCGTATTATTAAGAATAATAGGAGCGAGCGACGGCACGTATTCAGCGAATCCGACGGATATCTTCAAAATGTCCTGTTAATGACTGCCTTCGACGCGTATCGGAAATCTTGCTTAAGAGCTTCTTGCTAGAGGCTCTCGCGAGAAAGGATATCTTGCACGCGGACGCCGGGTGTTGCTTGGCGCGAGGCAGAGGACATTCGCGATGCGGTTAACGAGCGTCGACTCTCGGACTCCACACTCTTAACAATTAACTTTCACGATGTCTTAGCACTAGTTGACTGAATTGAAGAATACAGTTTGAGATATGACCGAATTGACTGCCGCGAGAATATGAATGCGATTGTATGGCGAGACAATTCGGACCGAATTTGAACGAGTAAGCCTACTGCGTACGCGACACGAGCGAGAATAAGACACGAAAGAATATCATACGAGAAATGATGATATTCGAAACTATGATCGATTGCTATCGACCAGCTCGAATCGTTGTCGTAGGCAGACTAAATCGACCGACCGCGGAAACTCGCGCTCTGCCGATCTGAATAACAAGTTTTTTTGATTTCGAACCTTCGAGAACTTACTGTTTGTCACAGTTTTTCATTCTAAGAAGAATGCGATCACGCACCGAGCAGGTGACCGCGACGCTGTTTGTTCTCGCTCGTGTTTTATTTTCTGAGGCAATCGTTTTAATATAACGGCGAAATTTAGAAACGAAATTTTAATGTTTCAATTTTGAACATTAATCATCCCTTAACTTTACAGTTTGCTCGTTTCTTGACCTTGATTTTATTCTATTTGCTTAAGCGTATACCAGCCTTATTTATTTTTTTATATTATTGAATATATCAATTGTTCAGATTAAAACTAATAAATGTAATGAATATTAATTTATTTTTATTATTGTGATGTGTCAGTTATTCTATTTTAAAAACTGTTATTCTTATTCTCAATAATAAATGATTGATGATCCACAATAATTAGATAATAAATATCATAACATGGTTTTATCACGACATTAATTTCTGTTTTTCTCCATCATATGGATTATATTATCTTATTTATATTATGTAATGATCAAATAAAATGAAAATTTTTCACAAAAATCTTGAAAACAAAATAATACTTCCGAAATATTAACTATCTTCAAATTTTGGTCAACTAATCGAAATTGATTATAATAAACAATGCATGTATATCAAATAATAAGGATAACGGAAAATACAATTATACTTGCTTATTAGAATAATATCCTAAAGGATGTTAAATATCACTTTTGCAAATGTAATTAATGTATATTAGCAATCATACATTTACTAGTAGAAATAGCAGAATTATTTCCTAACAATTGTAAACTCGATCATTACTTATAAACCGAAAGACAAATTACTTATCATTACTTATATCATTACTTATATTGCAATTGTTTCTAAATAGGAGTTTGTCGGAACGATATTACAACAATTTTGCGTACTGTGATAGGAATACGATAAATACTTTTAGATTCAAATCCATACCAGTTACAAGAGGAAAATATTGATTTGTATTTGCCGATTTCCAATGTTAAGAAATTATATGAATTTAATAAAAGACTTTGTGAAGATTCTACTACTCGATTGCAATATGTAAGTATTGTTTATTAATTAAAACATTAAAGTTAAATGTAAATATCTTTTTAAATTACAAGACATGCAACATGATAAAAATATCTAAAACAAAAATATAAAAAAATTGTATACTTTTCCATAAAAAAAACAAAAAACGATTATCTTGAAATGAAGAGAACATATTCTATATTCTACATATATTCTATATATTCTACATATATTCTATAAACAAAGATATAACATTTTTTTCAAAGATTTTACAAAATTCTGTCTCTTTTCACAATTTTTCTATTTTTTTTTTTTTCATGTGGACTTTTTTATATTTGAAAACATGTATACAAACGTAACAGTTCTTAACAATTCTGCAAATTCGTTATTTTACGTGTAAAACGTTCTTTAATTTTGTACAAGCAACAGTAATAGTGTATGGTAAAAGTATTAACAGTAAAACTAATGTTAGAAATTAAAATTTTATTGTTTTAAATGCTGTTGTTTTTGTACTATTTTAAAAATCAATTAGGATTTTATGTCATAATATAAGAATATTGCTTTGGAAAAATTTGGTACCAAAACGTACTAAAATTTGAAATGGAAGAATCTAATATAATAAAAATAATTTCTAAGGAAATGCTGATTACTAACTTTTAGTGATTCTTATTTATAAATGTGCCAGTTTAATAGTAGTAAATATAGTAGTAAAGAACATATTTAAAAATTATCGATACTACCAAGATAATAATAATAAATTGCAACACAAGCATATTTTATATTTTTTACAGCAAGGAATGATTCGGACAATAGGAGGTATAACCCCACATAAACATGTACGAAACGCTATGCGTTTAACGATAGCTGATACGTTAGCTTACCAAATGACTTGGACTAATAAAAAAAATAAGATTGAAACTCAGAGCATGAAACTCACTAATCTCATTATTGGTATATGATTCATTTCCTATTTCTTTTTCTGGAAACATGTCAAAATTAAAATAATTTTTTGTTTACACTCCATTTTTACAATAACAATTTTCTAAAATTATTCAATCTGCGCTACCTTGTCGTCGTCGTAGATCGCGTAGGTTCGTCCCGTGTGCGTGTTTATCGCAGCGTTAATCTTAACGTTTCGGGGAAGTCCGATATCGTGGAGATATCTCGGCCAACCCGATTTTAGCTTAAGGCTGAGATATTCCGCGAGGTAGATCGAATCGTCCGCGAATAGCGCGAAATCGCCCGAGGGTCTTCGATACGCGGCGGATAGGCGCGTGAAATTCGCCGGGAGAAACGTCGCGTAATCCGTGAGCGTCATGGGCCTACCGTAGCGTCTCTCGGTCACGTTGATCGACCATACATTGCGGCGATTAGCTATGTACAATCGGTGATTCATTATCAGCGCGGCGTCCACGCGCCGCAAAGCGCAGAGATCCGCGCGCGCGGGGTCGATTGACGCGGCGCTCGTCGTAGCGGGCGCCGCGATGGACGCGGGAGTCGCCGTCGGATAGTTTCCGTCGTCGTGAGACCCGTACAGATTCTGTATAGCGAGAATATTCTCTATTCTCAGCTTAACCGGAATATGATTCTCGATGTCGGGTATATACGGGAACATTATCGAGTCGTTGCGCATGCTGTGTTGTAGACCCAAAGCGTGGCCGATCTCGTGCGTCAGCGTTTGCAACAAATGATCCGTGTTGGGAGGATTTTTATTTAGATACACGTGCCACGGTTACCGAATCGTCAACGTGTACCTCCGACGCGAAATCGGTCGCTCCCGAGGGAAAGAACGTGTGAGCTAGGGCTCCCCCTGGACCGTCGAAGATCGCCGGGCAAACGCCGATATTCCGGCGATTCACGTAAGTGTGTGCGCCCGTTCGATACGATATTAGTATATCGGGTCGTAGCGGGTCGCGCGCGAAGGTTAGCGACGAATTCACCGCCCATAACGCGAACGCCGTTTCGGCCGTTCGCGAGAGTTCCTCGCTAGCTACCTGAAAGTTCCACGTGAGACGCGTTTTCGGCCATTTTCGCGCGATCGGGCTATACGCGCGATCGGGAATGTCCGCGAAACCGCATCGCGATTTGCGCATAAGGCTGAGCGTAACGGCGTCTAACGCGCCGTTTCCCGATAATTGATAGTATTCCTGAAACAGCGACAACGCGCGACGCAGAGATGTCGCGCTATCGGACGACAGCGATTCTCCGTCGTCCTTTAGAAAACCGTACGCGCGCAGGGAGCGGAGCGCCTCAGCCTTCTCCGAGTCGACGGGCGCGGCGGCCGTCGCGGCGACGACCGTCGTCTCTAGGACGAGAAGAACCGTCCTCGCGTTAGTCATTGCGCGGAGCGGGGAAAAACGCGGGAAACTATCGAGTTAGTCATCGCGCGGAGCGGGGAAAGACGCGGGAAACTATCGAGAGACGCCGGGCGCGATTGATTCGCGCGTTCGGCGAGACGCCTATTTTTATCATCGGCGAATTCGACGCGGGTGGGGGGAGGGGGAAATGCGTCGACGATTCGTTCGAGGAAGAGTCGCAACCCGCCTCGATTAGAGGGACGCGCCCTTTCGACGAGCGTCCGGGACGCGCATTATCTAGCGGACGCTCGAGTTCCTCTCGCGGTTTTACTTTTTTATTATTTCTACTTTTATTATTCGTTTATCCTCTAAGAAGGACACTCGACGAGCGATTAGAGAAACGTACCCCTTCCGGTGACGATAAACATTCGAGTATCCGGGATGCGTGTTATTTAGCGGGCACTCGAGTCCCTCTTATCGCATTATTCTTTGTTATTTTCCTCTATAATCTATTTTTATTGCTCGTTTATCTCCGCTCGTACCGCGGCATCCACGCGTCGATCCTTATA